TCGTCCACGTAGCGAAACCAGCAGCGGGGCTTGTGTGGGGCCAAGTCAAGTGCCCTCTCCTCGAAGTCCTCCATATAGAGGTTAGAGATGACCGGAGAGAGTGGCGAGCCCATCGCCACACCATCGGTTTGTTCATAGAACTGGCCATTGAAGGTGAAGTATGAGGTGGTCAGGACATGGCGGAAGAGTCTCAAGATGTTTTCTTCGAAATGTCGTCCTAGCAGATCCATCGTATCTTTTATAGGCACCCTGGTGAAGAGTGACACTACATCGAAACTGACCATTATGTCGTGGGGATCAACATGGAGAGAGTCCAATGTGTGTGGACAAATTCCATGGAGTTCCTCACGTGGCGTGGACCGTTGCCAGTGTATGTCCTCAGTAGGCCAGCCAAGTGTTTGGCCAGGCGATAGGCCACATATACACCACATATACACGGTGCCAAATCCCAGAAGACTGCTTTCTTCATAGTCACCGCCGTGAAAGCCTCAAATCTTACATGTATATTTCAAGTTTCATTAAGAACTGTTTGACAGTCTTTTATATAAAAACTAATAGTAATTACTGTTAATAGGAAGAATAGTAACTAAAGTAACAATGCTAACCACAGGAATGCAAAATAATGTCAACACATTCTTAGAGTTAATTGGAACATCCAGCAGTATTGAGAACACAAAGGAGAAAGGCATGTGAGTATGAACTGTATGCACCCTGATATGGATTGCAAGCTCCAAGCTTGCTGAATCTTACAAACAAGCTGTAATCCATAAATAATTTTACGCAACTTTCTTCGAAAGTTTTTTTCCATTTAAAACTATCCGGTGATAGCAGGCTGAGATGTGAATACGGGTTCTCAGGATATGAAGCCTGAATGCTGCCATCTCAATCACAACACTTCTCTACTTTTCCATGAGAAAAACTTTAACTCTTGAAATAAAACAATGACTAAAACTAAAGCACATACATGAAACATATTGACATTTCATATTTTACAGTACTTTTATAATGTATTTCCAGTGTTACATCTGTCATTACTATGGCAATCCATTCCATAACACTAGGCAAGCATTGCATTTAAGAACAGGAGTATTATTATACATTGTGATACTCACTGCATCCACAATATCCATGCACACGATTCCTTCTCCTGTATCAGCTTTCAAATCTTCATAGTACTGATTGAGAGCACAGTATTTTTCAGTGCAGTTGGCACATATTGCTGATTCATATTTCTTAGTGGTAGCATTGTAAAACTGACTAAAGCAGTCTTGAGTAGCATTATAAAGTTGTTGAAATTTAACAGTAATGTTTGAAAGTTGTGGTGTTAACGTTCCATTATCTTTTACAATAAAACAACCTGAAAATAAAAATGATACCCCGTCTTTATTTGTCACGCACAGAAAGTGGGAAGTACAAATACAGGTGAATCTGCATTTAACGTTTTTAACTTGGGGTTTTCCTTCATTTAACATTCAATTTGAATGAACCTATGTCAGTGACCTCAGTATTAAATTTTTTCTGTTTAAGATTTTCCTCAAATTTGTGTTAAAATACACTGATCCCCAAACAAACCTTATACAGGGATTTCAGTGTCCTCAAATTTGTCCCTTTGCTTTACTAATCAAGCACTACACCATGAAGGTGTATGGGGGGGTGCATGTCTAGATCTCGGCATTAGTTGGAGGTGAGTGGCCAGCTTCACGCCCCTACTGCTTTACCCCTGTTGAAAGAGCCCCCAATACCAATTTGATGGGAGGCTAGGTGGGCCCCAGAGCCGGTCAGGATAACGTGAAGAGAAAATTCTTTATCTTACTGGGACCCCTCCTTCATCCAGCTCATAGCCAGTCGCTATCCCAGCTCCCTGGTTTCACTGTTCTTACTTTTCAAAATTCAATATCACAGGAATGAATGTATAAGGGGTGGGCCTTCTCAGCCCTTGCACCATGACCTACAGTCTTCTATTGTGCGTAACATGCTATTAAACTGAGTAGGCTGATACAGCTGTAATAGTCTACACTCATACTTTGGAGGTGCTTGGATAAGATCTCAGCTGGCTCTAGACCCATATTCAGGGATGCTCAGATTAAATCTCAGCTTGGACACTGTCTATCCTGAATGAAGGTTGTCATGATTTTTCTCAGTCCCTCAAGACAAGTGCCAACATACTATTTTGATTAAGCCAAGACTGTTTCTTTCCAAATCCATTCCAATTCATCTATCACCCTACAATTCAGTACTATATAATCTAGATACTAACAGCATCATAAAATAAACCACATAAAAACCATGATGTTGTATGTTTATTATTTTTAAGCACTGCCAACATACCGTTCTTATTCCATATACTACACTATACTACACTATACTATACTATATACTGTCATATGTTTTGCTACTGAAGACGCTGTTTGGATTGTTAATTGGTTTATTTAACAACCTACAAGTCGTAACTACAATTAATTGACACTGTTATGGGTTTACACAATTTACAAACCCTGCACACTAATCTCTTCACGCTATCTTCAGTATAACATACGTTCCATTCTTCTTCTTTCGGTGGCTGTCTCATACTCACTCCAAATACTCACTGAATACTCCAAATACTAACCGACACTGTCTTCAGCGGCTGCTACATTTTAACTGACTTCCTTAGTTAGTTAGTTATTAGAGAGGGTGGGTTTCCCCATGCACTGAGACCTGTATTGGTCCATTGTGCTTCCCTCTATGATTTCTACCAGTCTCTATATCCTACCGGTACTGGTGCTTACCATCAGTCCCGCCCAGCCACCGAGACCGGCTCTACTAGCTGAGAGGTATCTATAATCTTCCCCCATCTACCAGAGGTATTAGAGACTGCTGTTGGGCGGGAAATGTCCGTTAATTTGGCTCAGTGGCCTCCTTTGGAGATATGAGGTTGTTTTACATGCCGTAAAGCTACGACATGGGACCCACAGCTTAAAGTCCCTCCCGGAGGACTTGTTCCCTGAATTTTTCCACCCTTAAAAATTTGACGACCTCTGCCGGGTATTTGAACCCGCGTACTACGAGTCATGAGGTGGGAACGTTACCTCTAGACTACGGAGGCCGCTAACTGACTTCCTTAAGTCAAAAGTCAAAATCAAATTGCGACTGATGGTCAGTCAGTCTTGGTGTTGAGCCCAAATCTGGGGCACTGTTTGACAGTTATGGTCTTATTTTTGTGGGGCAGTCTTTCTCGGGTCCGGGTCCCTTGGGACTCGTGACCATATTTTACTGTCTGCTTTGAGACTTCCCTTTTTGTCGCCTCCTACGACTCGCAGAGTCACAGTGGAGGTATTTGATCCTGCCTCCACATGGGTTGACTTCCTTAGGCTTTCCAGTCTCTCTTATAAACCCTCAGTTGGACAGCGGAAAACGCATCTCGCTTTGTTGTTGCGTAATTGCTGTGTTTACAGAGGTGTTGCTGGGCAACGCTGCGTAGCAACCAGCGCACTTCGGTTTGGCTAGGCACAGCATGGAAAAACACCGCTTTCCTTACTGTTGCGTAACCTCGTTTCCACTGTTGCATAACTTGGCAACCGACCGTTTATCAAGAGTCTGTCTTCATGGTAACTTGTTCCACATCCCGTTGCCCAACAACGGTTTGACACGTCACAATATATATGCCTGTGTGTGTGTGTTTGTTAAAAAGTTTGTAATGAAAATTCATCAAGCGCATGCAAATGGTGTTATTTTTCTTTACATCTAATTCATCATCACAGAATTTCATCATGTACATTATAGAGGATACTTACTATTGCATTGACCTCTTTGCCAGAGCTTACAAACATAATCAAGAGCACCTTCAATTACTTCAAGGCGATCCAAATTCACAAGTTCCATCTTACAAGCATGACCACCACCATCATGAGCCTTATACAAAACAAACAAAGTGTTTACTATAATTACCAAAAATACTACAGTCAACAACAGATAGTGATCTGTTTCATACAACCAGAAGAGTATATCATAACAATAAAAAAGGTAAAGCTATCCCTGTTAACAGGTCGTGGAGGCCCACTGGGTTGTGTAATGTCAAGGCTCCCATATTTTCTAGACAACTGGCTCACAGATTGTGGTGAGGTTGTCAGCCTCATGTACTGACCACCCTTTATCGCCAGGAAGATTCCTTATACTCATTTCTGTTAGAGAATGAGTTGGCCCCAGAGCCCTAGTGTGACTGGAAGGATTAGGTCAGTTGAAAAATCCAATGACCTCATCAGAAACAAACCTGCAACGTTTCGGCTTGTTGCAGCACAGTGCCTCAACCAAATATACTACCATGTGCCCCATATTATAACAAAGACAACTTCAATTTTATCTCATTTATTAATAGTAAGAAGGCTAGAGGCATATGCTTACTCATTTGCTTTGGCCAAGTTAATGTAGTCTAGTGGAAGGCAAAAAAACTATTTGTATGAAGCATATTGCGAAGGTACAAGTAAACAGATTTTGCTGAGTGGTTCCTATATTCAAAGAGGCTGCCTCTGTGGTCTAGTGGTCAGAGTTTCCAGCTACAGATCCAGAGGTCCCAGGTTCGATTCCCGGCGTTACCAGATTTTCTGAGAAGTAGTGGGTCTGGAACGGGGTCTACTCAGCCTTGTGAGGATAACTGAGGTGATATTTCAAAGAAATAGTGGCTCCAGTCTAGAAAACCGAAATTAACAGCCGTGGGGATCTGTGGTGCTGACCACAGAACACCCTCTATCCGCTAAAGTTGGCACTAACTTCGCTGACAAGTAGCAGTCACTCGTACAGGCCACAGAGTGTTCCCCCCCCCCC